GAAGCTGAGGAATAGGGTTTGGGAGGGGCGCCAGCCTGATCGGCCTCTGTCTTCAGAGCGGGATGCGGTGACGCCCCTGAACAACCATGGCAGCGGCTGACGGGTTGGCCTTCCACGGTGAGTGCAGACCCTATGTGGCGGGAACTTCTGCTCCCGCCCCTGGCCAGAACCTCCCGTGCAGCTTCCATCTCTTACTTAACCCGAATCCCACGCGGCTGTGTACACTGACCCCAGACCGGAAACCTGCCTCAAGAATGAGCCCCATCCGCATTCGAACCACGCTCCCGTCCTGAACTTAGACTCCATATCCCGAGGCCCTGAGTCTATCCGAGGACCAACCCTGAGTTGCATTCCCACGTTAGGAGTAAGGGAACAGTCTTACTTCCCATGCCTCGGAACTGAGGAAGTTGTGCCCTGTCTCGGGAGAGAGTTGAGGTTGCCGCTGTTATAGCCTTAGTCCCCGCCATGAGCAGTGGACCATGCACAATTAATTGCCTCAAAACGCGCCTTGTCCCATTTGTCCTTCTTCATAGAATTTGAGGAAGCTACTAATCTTCTGGCTGAGACCCCAGATGCAGCTACCACCAGCAAAAGTGATCAGCTGACCCCAAAAGGGCACGTAGTTGTGGCTGTCGGCTCTGGTGGCAGCTATGGAGTAGAGGAAGAGGTGGAGGAAGAGGGTGACAAGACAGCGGTGAGTCACCTAAGTCCCCATTCCCTGACTCTGACCACCCCCTGGCTGACGTAGGCTGTAAGAGCAAGCACTGAAATCCCACACTCTGCAGCTTTTACAGGAGGAGAAGCCACAGCCGGGATTCTGGACATTCAGCTACTATCAGAGCTTTTTTGACGTGGATACCTCACAGGTGAGGCCTGGAAGCTGATGGGAGGGGCTCAGAGTCATGCTGGTGGTTCAGCCAGTATCCACTGAGCACCAGGCTGAGACAGAGTGCTGGTAACAGCTACATGGGAGAACAAGTGCTCCTACCCAGGCTAGTAAAAGGAATGGTGGTATTTTCTAAGGATTTTGGTGATGGGCTGTGGGAACAAAGAGGGGGGAACCCCCCTACATGCACAGGATCTGGTGAATAGGGAAAGGCCTCCAGTAGGAAGTTAGGAATTTGCTGAGACCTAACAGAGAAAGGAGGGTTACCCAGGAAGGGTGGATGGGAGCACTAGTTATGTTCCAGACACAGGAAACAGTATATGTGAAGACAAAAGGTGAGAGGAGTCGTGAACAGTAGTAGAAGCTACCTATCACTAAATCTGGTGGGAGAGTGTGAGATGGGGGACAGGCAGAAGGCAGATCACAGAGGACCTCATACGCTATGTTTTTAGTTTTTTTGTGTTTACTGTTTTGTTTTTTGAGATGGAGTCTGGCCTTGTTGCCCAGGTTGGCCCCAAACTCATGGGCTCAAGAGGATCTCTTAGCTGGGACTACTCATGTGCTAACTTGCCCAGCCATGAGCTGTGTTAAGGAGTTAGAATTTGGGTTTTATTCTGAGGGTGTTGGGGAGTCAGAAGGGTCAGAGCAGGAGAGGAATGAGATGACCAGATGTGCACATGGATCAGAGCTCTAGACCAGGCTCTTTTTTTTTTTTTTTTTTTTTTTTTTTGTGGTCCGTGGTAGGGGGATACTTGGGATTGAACCCAGGAGTACTGTACCACTGAGCTACAACCCCAGCCCTTATTTTTTGAGCCTCTGAGTTGCCCATGCTGGCCTTGAACTTGTGATCCTCCTTTCTCTCAACCTTCTTGAGTCATTGGGCTTACAGATGTATGCTACCATGCTCAGCTCCAGGCCAGGCTTAATGAGAATAAACCAGGGCCACAGACTATGAGAGCAAGTGAATGTGTCTTGTCTCGTGCCACTGCTGCTACACAGAGATGTAGAGGGAAGATTTCCCAGGACTTATTGGCTGTCTTTATTGGGGCTGGGAAGTGTCAAGGGCAGTTTAGGCAGCCAAGTTGTCTAAGGGGAAGCAAACAGGAAAGTGGCAGCCTGGAAGATAGCCTTCAGTATTGGGAAGTTGAGTGAGAGCTCAACTTAGTGACCAGGGGAAGGGTCTCTAAGCCATGGGAACATCTTGTCAAAAGCCTAGAGGGAAGGTAGGCATGGTGGTGCATGCCCATAATCCCAGCTGCTTGAGAGGCTGACTCCAGAGGATCAAAAGTTTTGAGGTCAGCCTTAGCAAATTAGTGAGATCCTGTTTCAAAATTAAAAAAGAAAAAAGAAATGTAGCTCAATGGTAGAGTGCTCCAGGATTCAATTTATTTAGAGAATTTTTTTTAATATATATATATATATTTTTTTTTTTTAAGTTATCGGCGGACACAACATCTTTGTTTGTATGTGGTGCTGAGGATCGAACCCGGGCTGCATGCATGCCAGGCGAGTGCGCTACCGCTTGAGCCACATCCCCAGCCCTCCAGGATTCAATTTAAAAAAATAATTTAAAAAAGGCTTAGAGGGGAGGGCAGGGAGTATAGCTCAGTTGGTAGAGTGCTTGTCTAGCATGCACAAGGCCCTGGGTTCAATCCTCAACAGCCCCCCCGCTCAAAAAAAAAAAAAAAAAAGGCTTAGAAGGGCGAGATGAGCTCTTTCAGGTAGGGCATGGAGAGAGGAGAGAAGAGGTCATTGGGGAAAGAAACTCCCAAAGTACAGGAGGAACCCTGGGAAGGCTTCCATCCTGGACTGTGGCCTTGTCTTTCAGGTCCTAGACCGGATCAAAGGCTCACTCCTACCTTGGCCTGGCCACAACTTTGTACGGTACCATCTGCGAAACCGTCCAGATCTGTATGGTGAGTAAGTTTGTGCATTTGTTTCATTTGATTATTCATGCAGCACGTGTGGACTGAATGGCAGGTGTTGCTGTACAGCTGAGAAAAAAGTAGTCACCAAGAGTGAAACTTGTGTTCTGTTTAGGGAGACAGAGACATAACAGACCGTAGTGGATGATGGGGCTGAGAAGAGAAGGGAAGCAGTGTAGTGGAGGGTGATGCTGTTGTGTCTGTGTGGGTCAGGGAAGGTCTCTGAGGAAAGAGAATGAGCCTTATTGGCAAGTATTGGTCAGGGGTGGACAGATCTAGAGGAGGAGGGTCCCAGTGAGGGCCCAAGCCTTAAGGTAGAGACATCCCCGCACTGGAGGGTTGCACTGTCACTGAAAAGAAGTGAGCTGTTAGGATGTCACTGAAGTACTGGGACAAGTGGCACAGGCTCCCATACTGTGGTGAGAAAGGATCTTAATGAGGTGTTCCTAGGTTCCCCTCTGGCCACATCGGGGATAAGGATGGAAGATAGGAGACCAGGCAGGAGACAACTCATGGAGGCTGAAGACAGAGAGAGTGGTTGGTTCTGGGATGTGTTATAGAGGCAGAACCAACAGGATTTGCTGACAGACTAGTCAGGGTGGTGAGGGAAGCAAAGGGTACCCCCAGGGTTTTGGCCTGGACCACCAGCATAGTTGCTGTGGGTGGATGGGAAAAGCTGGGCAGGTTGGAGGGAAAGGAGCAAGTGTGGGGTGGAGATGGAGACACCTCAAAATGTCCACCTTGAAAAGTGAACATGTATGAGTATACAATTTGGGACACTCTACCATCTGGGAATCATCAGTATAGAAATAACAGGGAACCCTGAGGCTGAACAAGACTATGCCAGGGGTGAACAGGGACATGGAGCAGGGCCAAGGACTGAGCCCCAGCTGCTCTCCATTAATGGCTTTATCAGAGTTGAAAAAGTTGAGGAATTGCTGCCAGTGATGTGAGACAAGAGCTAGAGCGTGGGGTTCTAGCCGTATGGAGCCTTCCCAGGCAGAGAAGGATGAACTAAGAGGCAGCATTAAATCCAGCCACCAGAATGTCCCAATTGAGAGTCAAATGAGTGGCTGGGGTCCCCCTGACCTCCCCAGCAATAGAGACAAGACCCATTCACCCCCTCTGGGAGCACTGAGCCCGGGATTTGGACTATGACTTCCTCACAGGCCCTTTCTGGATCTGTGCCACCCTGGCCTTCGTCCTGGCAGTCACTGGCAACCTGACCCTGGTGCTGGCCCAGAGGAGGGACCCCTCTGTCCACTATAGCCCCCAATTTCATAAGGGTAAGTAGAGTGGATGGGCTCAGCTCCTGGCAGCCACAGGCCCCAGGACATGAGAGGTAACTGCTGCCTTGCCTCCCAGTTACTGTGGCAGGTATCACCATCTATTGCTATGCGTGGCTTGTGCCGCTGGCGCTATGGGGTTTCCTGCGGTGGCGCAAGGGCGTCCGGGAACGCATGGGACCTTACACTTTCCTAGAGACCGTGTGCATCTATGGCTACTCCCTCTTCATCTTTATCCCCACTGTGGTGAGTATGGCCTGGTGATAGGTAGATGGTGGGAGCCAAAGGAATCATCTGGCACAGTCACTAGCTGCCCCTGTCACCTCAGGTCCTGTGGCTCATCCCTGTGCCATGGCTGCAGTGGCTTTTTGGGGCACTGGCCTTGACCTTGTCAGCTGCTGGGCTGGTGTTCACCCTCTGGCCTGTCGTCCGTGAAGACACTAGACTGGTGGCTGCAGTGCTACTGTCCACTGTGGTGGTGCTCCATGCCCTCCTGGCCATGGGCTGTAAGGTATGGTTCCAATGGCCCCAGGCTGGGTTGTGGGGCAGGAGTGGGTTGCTTGCCTGCCTTTGCCACTGACCCCAAGGGTCTCTGTTCAGCTGTACTTCTTCCAGCCACTGCCTCCAGAACACGTTGCACCTCCATCTCAAGCCACATCTCTGCCCCCAAACATACTACCGACACCCACCATGACCCGGTCCATGGCAACCTCCTAGGAAGGCCCACCCTATAGGTAAAGGACCATTTCTGCTTTGTCTGAGGGGGTACCTTCCCTTCTCTCTGGGGCTGCTTCTAGAAGTCTCTCTCTTTCAGGCAAAACCTAAAGGGACATGCCTGTCCTGTTCCTGGTGATGACTGAAGTCTCCCTCGACCGCTCGAGACCGCTCTGCTACTTTCCAGACTTTTCTTACAAAGCAAACACTTTTATTTTCTATGCAAAGGTGATCCAGAGAATTCATATAAAGGTGGGGGAGGGGCAGCTGAGCAGGGAGCTTCCAAGGTGGCTCAGGCAACACAGCTGCAGGACAGGACTGGACTCCCAAGCCCTCCAGCCTGCCAGTGGGCCTTATGCTTTCCCTGACAGCTCTGCCAAGGACAGGAAGAAGGGCAGCCTGGGGGCACAGAGTGGGTGTGAGGCCTAGCCTGAGCTCCAGCTTCTGAGGTTGGGGGTGCTAGGAACAAGGGGAGCAGAAGTAGAAGAAAATTGCCTGTGCTGAAACATACATTTCCTTGTTTATTTTGTTTGCTTTCTTTTTTGGAGGGAGAAGTCCCTTCAAGGTCCTTTCCCAGGATGGAGAAGGACCAAAATGCCATCATGATGGTAGGGACTGGATTATCTATGAGTCTGGAGGGGAAATACACAGGCCTAATGTTAGCTACAAGGGAAAAGGACGCCTTCTCTGACAGATCCTTGAGGCTTCTGTCTGTCTGAAGCAACCCACAATGACCTTCCCTCCAGGCTGCCTATTCCAGCTTTTGGTGGAGGCTGAGGGGGGACCTGCAGGGGCTCAAGGACAGAACAGCAGCAAGAGGCAGGGGCAGAGGACGGAGGGCCTTCAGACAGCTGGGGTGGGTTGTACATTCAAGTGAGGTGAACCCTTTGGTGGGGAGGGGCCTGAGGCCTGGCCCAGGGTTGCCCCCACCACTGAACCTCTGAGCCTGGGGAGAGGGGCTGCTGGCTGGGCCCGGCCAGCCGGGTTTCTCAGAGGGTCTGTGGATTGACACTGGTTCTTTTCGTAAAAAAATAAAATTAAAAAAAGCAGCATGTCACGCCCATGGTGACCATGATGGCCTGGTAGTTGAAGGAGAGGTCCTGCCCAGCTGGGCTGCCTTCCCACTGGAGACAGGTGATGGGGGCAGGGGCTGGGGGCCTGGTGGGGCAGGGCAGCCTGGGCCATTGTGGCAGCTGCTTCCCTCCTCCTGCCCAACCAGGGTGCAGCTGCTGGCCCCAACACGCCTGTTACAGCAGATGTCAAAGCCAGGTCAGAGTGAAGAGGGCTGGAGGGGGACAAAGGCTCCCCTGACATGATCTTGTGTAAAATGTGGCAGCGACACTCGCTCAGGGCCAAGGTGTGGGCAGGGTCAGGTAGGGTCAGCGGCAACATCGTGTAAAAAAAGTGTCCAAGTTCCCATAGCAAAGAGGGCTGTGACGGGATGTTTGGGCTTCTCCAGTACAAGGGGACAGCCGCCCGGGCGAAGGTGCTGGGCGGGGGCTTCATTTGGTTTCCTGGTGCTGTCAGTCTGTCAGGGCAGAGTGCCTAGCTCCCGTAGTGCATGGTGTTGGTCGGGATGGACATGGGCGAGGCCATGGAGATGGCAGGACCACCCATGGTGAACTGGCTGTTGACTGCATAGTGGGCACTGGAGCCGCTGCCGCCGCCGCCCTGGGCACCTGAGGAGCCTGTGGGGCAGGCAGTAGGTACTGAGGGCCAGCTTGACCCCTGTGCCTACCCAGCTCCCCCAAAAGTGAGAGCACGCGTGCAGGTGAGGCAGCAGTTGGGCCACACTCCCATGCTAACGCGGCCCTGCCCAAGGGACCCCAGACCCCTCCACCCGCCATTACCTTGGACAATCCCCGTGCTCATTATGGAGCCCATCCGGGAGTGGGTGTGATTGACAATCCCTGTGTTGGCTGCGCAGCGACAGGGAGGAAGGAAGGAAGGAAGGGAGACAGCGTCACCACCCCTAGCCTGCCCAACCCACTCACGCTTTCACAGCGGGTGTGGGAAGGGCAGATGCAGCAGTGACAGAGCCAGGCAGAGAGGAACAAACGAACGAACGCAGGGCTTCAGCCAGGAGCCCCCAGGAGGAGGAAGAGGCAAGGATGGAGACGGTAGTGCTGAAAGACTAAGCACTGATCAACAGACTGGCCACCAGCCCTTCCCTGCTTCAGGGCGGTCCTGTTTGCCCCCTCCCCCAGCCATTCCCTGGACCCCAGGGGACACTTACCTAAAGGAATCAAGTTGTTGTGGCCCACACTGGAGCCGCCGGCAATAACACTGCTCAGGTCATAGGCAGTTGGCATCCCTGTGCCCAGAGAGGGAGATGTCAGGGGTAGGACACAGTGTCCCGGATGCCAGTGCTAGAGGCAGGCTCGGGAGCAGGAGGAGTCCAGGCAGGCCACCAAAGTCAGCGGCTATGTCAAGGGCATGGTGGACTTACCTGCCACAGCCATCCCGCTGCTAAGGTTGTAGGTGCTGCCCGTGTTCCACATGTTTTCAGAGGGAGAGGTGTAGTGCGAGCCAGGTGGGGGTGAGGGAGTCGTTCCTGTGTATCTGTGGCAGAGATGACTGGTGGGCAGGGCTGGGGGACTGTGGGGCCCAGGGTACCCCCCACATAGGCAGAGGCCCTCTTACCTGAAGAAGGGGTTCTTTAGATCCAGGAGGTTACTGGATTTGGAGCCTGTCTGGTCCACCTGGGCCACAATACTGATGTCATAGCTCTGTCTATAGAGAAGTAGAGGAGGGCAGTTGTGAGGTGGCCAAGCTGACAGACCCCTGCACTCCCAGCCCTGGGCAGCAGGTCATACCTTTTGTTGGCAATAAGCAGACATGTCCCTGATAGTGTGTCCCCAGCCTTGGCAAAGAGTGGTGACTGGAATAGGCACCGGACCTGGTACCAGTGGGTCAGGGGTTCCGTTGGGGCAGTGGATAGCCACACGGTCATTCTGTCAAGCAGGGACAGGTATTTACTTGACTGGGTTGGTGCCACCACTTGGGTCATTGCTCTGTATCTGTACCTTGGGCTCTCCAAAAGTGCCTGCCCCCTGATTGGTCCCTTGGGCCCCATAACCAAGACAGGCTGGAACTCCAGCAGCCTAGGCAAACACATGTGAGCTTAAACAAGTGCACAAGGGATCTGCAGCCATGGGGTGCTTTCTCACCGTGACATCTACATGCAGTGAGACAGACAAGGGCCCATGAGGGACAGGTACTCCGAACACAGCAGATATGCACCTCCCTCCCAAGGGTCTTTTGTTCAAAGATATGTTCTCGCTGCCTTTTGAATGGGACAGAGGAACCTGAGGAGTTATGTCCTACCCTCCCAGCCCCCAATGCAGCGACTGCACAGCCAGGTCTGGGGTGGCCACAGCTGTAGGGAGCCCGGGGAGTGGGTGGGGGTAGCATGGTCTACCCTGCTGAACTCACATAGAGCCGATGAAAGCAACGTCAAACCAGAAAGCCAGGCCGTGGACCAGCCCTGAATGCAGCATGTGGAATTTGAATGGGATTTCTATCCTGGAAGGTAAAGGACAGTGGTTTGCTGGGGAAGCCAAAATGAGCTGCTGGGGAAAAAAGGGGTGGCCAGGTACAGAGGCTGGGATCCCCTGCCCACCTGCCCCAGGGCAACATAAAGTCAGCAAGAGCCAGTAGTGGCCCTGATCTTCAGTATGAGCCAGGCTTGGGGGAATGGGGTGTGGCTTCTGGTACCTGTGCAAATCTCCTTCTTTGGCTTCTAAGAAGTTCACTGTGTACTTGACAGACTTGGCCATCAGGATCCGGATGTCAAATGTGTCCTGGGAGAGACCACAGGCATGGCCTGGTTTCTATTGGAGGGACCAGGGAGAAAGGAGCGCCCCAATGCTTCTCCTAGTCTGGCCATAGCCTATAAGCCATTTGGCTAAAATGCCTGCCCTTCTTAGAGATGCTAGGGGAAGATGTACTGGCACAATACCATGGAGAGCAATTAGGTAACAGCTCTCAAAATGACAAGTGTTCACACACATTAAAGACTTGGCAGTTGCATTTCTGTGAATTTAGCCCATAAACATACATGGACATGTACAAGCTACATGTATAACTGTACTAGTGACACTAGAAACCATATAAAATAACAGATCATCCATAAATGATGAACAAGTACGAAGAGGGTCTTTGTGGCTAGTTGGGGAAAGATCTCCAAGATAAACCATTAAGCAGTTAACAAAAAAAGTAAATTAGAGAACTGAGTGCGGACATCTACTCCTACCAAGAACTGAAGCAAATCCAAAGAAAAAAAATCAGTGTTTAAAGCCTCAGAGAGTAACCCCAACAGGCAGGTATTTGAGGCCAAGATCCTAGAGACAAAGGAAATGTGTTGAGAGCCCATTTTTTAATTTTATTTTTTATTTTTGTGGTGTCAGGGATTGAGCCCAGAGTCTTATGCATGCGAGGCAAGCATCTCTACCAACTGAGCTATATCCTCAGCCCTTCAGGGGAGCCCATTTTGGCCCATGCAAAACATCTAGGTCTTTCAGCCACCTGCAGGGAGGGGGAATGGGAGATCAAAGTAACCAAGTCAGCTAGGACTCAAGAAGGCATAAAAACACAGGAAAATGCAGAAAAGGAGTGCATGTTGTACTTGCAGTTTCACTTTGTGGCATTGGTCAATTCCTAAGCCATGTGTGGGGAGGAGATTACAGGCCAAGAATTCAACTAGAAAACCACTCCTAAGAGACTAAATAGGTCCATTAGAGAGTCCTGGAGAGGATAGGAGGAGGCACACTTGTATCAAGACTGCTGGAGAAGGGCTGGGTTGCAGCTCAGTGGTACAGCACTTGCCTAGCGTGTGCGAGGCCCTGGATTCCATCCTGACACCACAAAAATAGAAACAATCCCCCAAACCAAAAATGGTCACTAAAGGCTAGTCCTAAAGCAGTGGTTCTCAAAGTGTAGTCCTATCCAGGGCACCCTTTAGCTTTGGGTCAAGGGTATTTTCTAATCATGCTAAAATGTTTTCTTTCTGCTCATATATGATGACAACAGGCTGAAGGCAGAAGCAGAGTCCAGATGCCTTCTATTAAGTCAGATATTAGATTTGCAAACTAAGATGCCATTATTTTCACTGAAGTTTTTTTTTTAAATAGTCTCTTTTTAATAAAAATACTATTTATGTTAACATGGAATTGGCATATTAAATCAATTGGTTAGCACATTTTAAAATTTATGGGGTTTACTTTTTAATACTAATAGATAGTGAGGCAGAATACACATAAACAAAAGCTCTTGAGGATCTTCAATTTTTGTGGCTTCAAGAGGTCCTGAGATAGGGAAGCCAGAGAAGAGGTCAGCCAAACAGTCTACAAAGCAATTTCCAAATATCTCAGATTCATGATAGGACTGTGATTGATCTGTCCATACAGCTAACTGCCCAGAGGAAAACAAAAACTTGGAAGGAGAAACACCATCCAAAGCCACCTATTTTTCTTTCTGGCATTCAATGATCAGGCATATGAAGAGCCTGGACTAAACAAACAGGACTCAAAACGAAGGGAACAAACACAGAAAACATACCTTTTTCCACATACTGAAATGATCATAGACTCATAATTAACATTTTAAAAAACTGAAAAGGGCTGGGGTGTAACAGCAGCTCAGTGGTAGAGCATTTGTCTACTATGCAGAAGGCCCTGGATTTAATTCCAGCGCTATGGAAAAAAAAATTTTTACAGAGAACTAAGATGACAATAAAAAATAATCCCACACTGGGTGCAGTGGTGCACACCTGTAGTTCCAGCTACTTGTAACACAAAAACAAAACAAAAATTTTCACATTCTCGACCTGAAAAATTACAGCTGAAATTAAAAATTAGAAAAGCAGATTAAACACAGTGAAGAAAGGATTGTAGCTGGAAGATGAGTCAGTTAAATGAGCAGGTACAGCGGCGTACCCCTGTAATCCCAGAGACACAGTAGGCTGAGGCAAGAGGATTGCAAGTTTGAGGCCAGCATGGGCAACTTTGGGAGACCCTGTCTCAAAAAGTTAAAAAGGCTGGGTATGCTGGGGTTGCTCAGTGGTAGAGCACTTGCCTAGCATGTGTAAGGCACTGGGTTAGATCCTCAGCACCACATAAAAATAAATAAATCACATATTGTGTTCATCTACAAAGAAAAAAAAAAAAAAAAGGCTGGGGATGTGGCTAGGCCCAATCTGAAGCACACACACATAAAGTAATGTAAAAGAATCACCTGAGACATGGCAAAGAGATCTACTGTACACATGATCAGAATCCCAAAGACAGAAAGAATGTCAAAAAGATGCTGTCCAAGAATATTCCCCCCAAAAGTGAAAGACATTGAGGGGACAGAACAGTAAAATAAACTGTATGGAGGTCTGCATTAAATTAGATGTAAATGGTCTAACATTCAAATTAAAAAAAAAAAAAAAATCAACTACATGCTGCTTCCTAGAAACTAAGGTTAAATAGAAAGGATACAAACAGGTTTAAAGTAGAAGAACAGAAAAAGTTATATTGTATAAAGATTAATCAAAAGAAAGCAAGTGTATCTGAACTGGTACTATCAGAGAAGTACTATCAGGGGAAAAAAAACAAAAACAAAAAACTTTAAGACAAGAAATAGTAATAGAGATAAAAAGAGATATTTCATAATGAAAAAAAGATCTATCCAACAGGAAGATAATAATCCTAAACTAGGGCTCATGCTAATTCATACTATTAGTTATGAACCTAACAACATAATGTCAAAATATATAAAGCAAAAATAAATATAATGAAATGGGGGAAGAAAACCAATTCCATGATTAGTTATACATAGGAAAAGCAGATTTAAAAAAAAAATCAGTATCAAGCTGGGTGTGGTGGTGCACACCTGTAATCCCATCTGCTGGAGAGGCTGAGGCAGGAGGATGACAAATTCAAGGCTAGTGAAAAAAAGTAAAAAAGTAATAGAGATTTGACCAACATGATGACAAATGTGACCTAAGTGGCATGAGTATAACACTACTCAGCAAGTGATCAGCATACATTTTTTTCAAGTGCACATAGAACATTAACCAAGAGAGATCACATACTGGACTTAGAGCAAGTGTCAGCAAATTTCAAAGGACTGAAATGTACATTGTATGTTTTCTGACCATAAAGAAATTAAGACAGAATAGTATTGTTGACTAAGCTATATTTTATGAGTGGAAAAAAGTTTCAAAAATATAATTTAACATGCACATCTAGGTGTTAAGCCTTTGGAAGGACAAGAAGAAATAGTTTGCCTGCAGGAAGGGGAACTGCAGCTGGGAACAGATTAGGAGGCTTTTTTCTGTTATACTCTTTATTTCTGAACTATGGACCTATGTATCAATTTACAAATCTCAGCAAGTAAAATCCATTAGTACAAATCAGCTCACCAAGGATCAATTTACCAGTCCCCATGTCCTCTGCATGCTATGTACTGAGTGTGTCTGTAGCTTCAATATCTCTGAGAGTTCTGTGTTGGGCAGAAGTGAGCCTAAGAGGGGCAGTAGTACTACACAGCCTGAACAAGGCCTGATGATGAAGCCCATGCCCCTCAGTCACTCCAGAGGGGCCATGCCCAGTAGTAATGCCATAGCATTCCGTGTCCCCTACTTACCACTACAGGCTGGCGGAAATATTCATCCACAGCAGCGCCTCGGAGGGCTGACAGGTCTACTCCGTGAAATGATGGCTGGTACCTGCAGAAAGCCCCCACCCCCACCGGCAAGGTCACCAGCAGCAGGAGAGGCAGGTGAGATAGCACTGCCTTCTCTCCCAGCTGGCCCTTGTCGAGCCCAAGCTCTTCAGGTCCTACTGAGGATGAGGAGAAAAAGAGGAAAGGTGGGGCCACCTGGGGGCTGGGGGTTATCCCCGAGCAGGCAGGCCGTGGGGCCCGGGCGGGACACCCAGGGCGCACTCACCAGAAGTTGGCCTTGGTGAACTGCTCCATGTAGAGCTGTTCATCCGTGAAGGGTGCGAGGTGGACGTCACCAATGGTGGGGAACATGTTTCCTGGGAGTGGGGGGCAGGGAGGGGTGCTGGTGTCAGGGTGGCACATCCCACAGGGCCAGGCAGAGCTTCCAAAGGGCCCCAAGAACCCCAACCCTGGCCTTTCCAGCTGCTTGTTCATTCATTCATGCATTCATGTGACACACAGTGTAGAGTGCCCACTCTGTCAGTGGCCACGGAGGAGTGCTTGACCTGTACCATCTCACTGCATCCAGACTGAGGGGTAGGAGGTTCTTTTCTTTTATACTCTTGATTTTTGAACCATGGATCTATGTATCAATTCAAAAATCACAATATGTAAAATCAGTAAATCAGCACACCAAGGATCAATCAATCTACTAACAGTTCACCTTTCCCAAATGCTTGTTGTGTGCTGAGTGCTGGGGAAGCCATTGGCCTGCACAAACCCTAAGAGGTAGCTGGTTTGCCTGTCCTTATGTCCCATTACTTGGGCTAGAGGACAGGAAAGGACCAGTCAGAGCCTCATAATGAGCAGGAGTGGCTGGGATGCAGCCAGCAGTGCCTCTCAGGCAGTCACATGCACACATGCTGAGTGTGCACAGCTGGCAGGGAAGTCAAGCAGGGTCACTCTGGCCAGAATGAGGGTGGCCCCAGGTTGGGTCTAGGTTCAGCTTCATCCGCACCACCAGTACTGCCCAGGCTCTGGTAGACACCAGGCAGACAGGGTGGACAACTTCGCCATCCTGGTTGGCATATGGCCCTCATCTGTGATTCAACAAACAGATGAGTCAGGACCAGCCGCAGGGAAAGCCAGGGTTCCAGAGGCTGTTCCTGCTCTGGGAGAGCACCTGGCCTCCAGATGTGGGCTTCAGTCTACCCTTTCATGCAGGGGGAGGAGGGAGGGAGGGAGGGAGGGAGGGATGAGCCGAGGTGCCTCCACAATAGCCTCCAGCAGGCTAGCAATGCTCAGCAGGGGACAGAGGCCCACAGCTCTAGCTCACGGGCCATAGGCTAGACCACCTGCCCCAGAGGACTGAAGCATCATGGGAAGGTGCCCTCGCCTGGAAGGCACCTCTGGCTCTTGCAGGCCAGTAAGCATATGGCTGGGGGAGGGTTGCCTATAATCCTCAAAAGAGGTTTTGTTGTTATTGTTGCAGTGGTAGGGGTGAAATCCATGCTAGGGAAGCTATCACTTAGCTACAACCATAGCTCAAAGGAGATTCCCTCCCCTTCCACCACCCCAGTACTAGGGATTGGAGCCCAGAACACTATACCACTGAGTTACATCCCTAGCCTTTTTATTTTTATTTTTAGACAGGGTCTCACTAAGTTTCCAAGGCTAGCCTTGAACTTAGAATTTCCTGCCTTATCTTCCTTAGTAGTTGGGATTACAGGTGTGTTCACAGCACCCACCAGCTTCAAAGAAGTTTCTGATGTGGATGGAAGGCCCATTTCTTCATCTTCTTCTTTT